TTTTCTTTTTTTTTTTTTCTTTTTTTTCACAAGCACCGTATTTTCAATTCCTAATGGCTCAGAAGTGGTACCATTTAAGGTAGCATAACATGTACCATTGGCACCAATGTCTAGTCTCTTATTTTTTAAAAAAATATAGGCAATTTATTACAATTGAAGAGAGGGCGATGAAAAATAGGGAGTGGATTGATGAAATTTAAACCCAACCCACTAAATAAATTTTACATGAGATTAATAATTAAAGGGTGGTGATATAAGAATAATTTTTTTATATTACTTTTACATAATATTTTTACATATTATTAAATGAGTTGATGCATTTAATGTCATGGGTCTCACATAAATTAAAAAAATCAATCATTTTAATGACACATTATAGACAAAAAAATTATACAAAAATCGTTTCTTTTTCTTATGTCTTTTTAGTGTCTTGGGGCAATAACCACCACACCTAGGTTTGTGATGCCATTTAAACATTGAGTCGAGTCGAGTCGAGTCGAGTCGAGAGTGCGAATATAGACAAACTTAGGTACCGACCAAATTGGGTCATACTACCCAGGATCCGGAATCCCACCACAGCTACACCTCAACGCTCATTTGTTGGAAGGTAGACTAGTGTGGATGCAATAACCTTACGGCCAATGCTTATTTTTCCAAATTCAACTGCACTCATCCTATTTTTAATTTACTTGCCACAATTTGATTTTGTGCGTCATAATATCCATCACCAACATTGGGATCTAGAAGGTGTAAGGATGATAATTTCTTCCATAAACTGTAAAGTTTTATAGAAATCTTTGACCTCAAGATAAAAATTTTCAAAATATTCTTTTTCGTGAGGCATAGATGGAGACAATATTTTCTCTGCAAAATTTCCCCTGCCCCCTAGATCTCCAAGGGAAACCGTAAATTAATAAAAATATTATAAATTTTATTTTTATAAATTATAATAAACTCAAATATCTCATTTTTCAAATATAGAAATCTTAACCACAAACACTTTGACTGTCTCATCTCTCCTTTCAATTATCTTAGTTCCTCCAAACCTCTCCTTTTTGTTTAATGAATTTCTCTTAAATTCAATTTAGTTTACTTTATTTTTTTTTTTAGCAAAGTTTACTTTATTTTAGTTGATTTGATTCATTTAAAAAAAAACTTGAGAAATAACTATTTTTATAAAATGTTTTTGAACTTTTTTTAAAAAATTAAGAATTGAATGAATCAATTCATTTTTATAAATAACCAAACAAAAAAATATTTTTATATATTTTTATGGATATAGAGAATCTTTGAGAAGACCCTTTATTTATAGGAGGTTTGGAGATGATGGGTATTTTTTACCCTTAATTAAAAATCTCTGCAAGGATTTCCGTATCCGCCAACAAGAGACATGGAGACAGGGAGGAGGTTCCAACCCCGCGGGGCCGTTGCCACCCCTAAGAAGGTGGTGACATAAAAGTCTTCTAGAAGTATATTTTTACCGCAAAATAAATTGGAGCCACACAAGAATAAATAATGGAGAGGAGCTCACGTTAGTTGTATCTAGATTTTACATGTAAGGTACGTAGATTATAATATTATAAAATAATAGAACACTCTAAAAAAATGCTAGGCAAAATCTAAGCAAAAGATTTCTGTTATAGTCGGTTTACATCATCAACTTTTGTAGGTTAAAATATGTGTTTAATTTTTCACCTTATTAAATTTAAAATTTTTAATATTTTTATCATATATTTTAAAATTTTTAATCTTTAAATTTAAAGTTTGAATATTTCAGTCTCTGAATTAACAAAATTCATTAATTTTTTTGTTAAAATGAGAATAAAAATTTATAAGATCAGTTTCTAAATATTAAAAAAGTGATAGTTTAGTTTTAAAAAATCCAAAGTTAAAAAAATTAATATATTAAAAAGAATTAATAGATAAATTTTCTACATATATTAAAATAGTATTAGATATCTACAATCAAATTGAGCAATTAGTTCAATTTGAAGAAGGAATTTTGATTAAGATGAAAGAAAATTTTTTGGTACAGTTGAGATAGAAAGTTCAAGATATTAGAATAATATAATTAAGAAATTTTCTTTAATCTCAATCAAATTCTTTTTTAAATTGAATTAATCGTTTGATTTGATTATAAATATTATGTACGTAGTAAAATCATTTATTAGTTTATTAATTTTTTTAATTTTTAACTTTTGAAACTAATCTGTCACAGTTTTACACTTTAAAGACTGATCATATAAATTTTTTATTTTCATTTTAATGAATAGTTAATAATTTTTATTAATTGAGGAATTAAAATCTTCAAATATTTAAATTTAGGTCTAAAAATTTTAAACTATAAGGTGAAAAACTAAAATATACAAACTATGTACCAAAAAAAAACTAAAATATACAAACTTAATAAAGTTAGGGTAAACTAATACCCTAGCCACTTTTGTAAGTATAAAAAGGAGACAAGTTCGTATGCATGTATGGATGTGCAAGGGAAAGAAAACTGAGTAAACGAGTAAACTGTAGAGTGTGGGTCCAAAAGGGAGAGTGAGAGTGATGTGAGTCAACTAATTGTATTTGAATTGTAGTCCCTTTTACACAAAAATTAGTCTTTTATAGAAAGTGTCTTGCATTCTTTCCTCCTCTCACTCAATACGACGTAGGGACGGAGCCATTGAAGTA